CAGTTCCCGAACTTTTGGATCGTACCATGTATTACAATACAATGCATTTTGGGTGCAAAATGTTTGTTACACATGCACCTCTCTTCAGGTAATACATAACTACAATAAAGAAACATGTAGTTGTTACAAAATTATTACAAATTACATTCAAATGATTATATTTATATATCATAGATCAGTTACTGATTTTGTATAAGCTGTGACAAATTGTAATTCTTTTCCTGGAATTAACTTTGAACCATACATTATCATACTGAATTGGAAAATAAAAAAAGCAATACTAAATTTGACATTTTATATAACATGAAATTTATACTAGTCATAAAAGTAGAGTATTATAAAAATAGGCAGTCATAGTCATAAATTAGTCATAAAAGCAAAGGTTAATCATATGGAAGTAAAATTATACATACTTATATAAGTAACAGATATATATTCCAGGAAAAGAATTACATTTCGTCACAGCTTATACAAAATCAGTAACTGATCTATGATTGCTTACATAATGATGATTCTTCATTAAATGAGACATTATAATGCAGTTGATTACTATCAACTATATTAAATATCTATTATGTAGGATCTATCATATTTGAAATTTATAAAATAAAAGGTAATTTTTAATTACAAAGTTTTCAATAAGGAGTTTTATTGCTAATTTGCTGTAATAGTGAACAAAGCAACATACAGGGAAAAAAATACATGTAATTAAATTCAATGTAATAATTATATGTTATGAATTTTATATTTTTCTACAAGTACCAGGTAGTTAAACTTAATTTCAGAATTATATAATGTTTTTCTTAATACTAGTTAAAGTTGGAATTTTTGAATAAAAATTTAAGTGTTTTTTAAAAAATAAATAGCCCAATATCTGATAAACTTGTGACAGAATTTTTACAAAATTCCATTTATCAAATGATTGAGTAATTTTTGAAATATAACAAAATTCTCATAACTTCCAAAAAGATTATAAAAATTTTATTTTATTTTATGCAATATTTTTAAATTAGCAATAGTTGATGCCACTTCATCCAGTAACAAATTCCTTTAATATCAAACTTCTGTTTTGTTTTAGATTATTTATGTATAATTAGAATTGAGTTTTAAATTAAAGCAATGAAGCAACTTCTGAAATATTGGCTAAAGAACAAATTTGATCTAGTGGTCAAGCAAAAGAAAATGTTATCAAAATCATATATCAGAAGTATTATCTAATTATTATGAATAGAGCAAAAATGATCAACACTTTAATTCAACAAATTAATAAATTGAATAATGAATGTTTTTGGCTGCATATATTGGCCATCTTCATATTAGAACAAAAACAAAATTAATAGTTACACATATATTTGAGTTTAAATGATTAGATGAATTATTTAACAGCTATACTAAATATGAACAAAAGTAAGAAATAATAAATATATAAATCTACATAAATCAGTTTAATGAAATTAAGTTAATCACATAGTAACTTCCATGACTAAATATTCTATGATGTAATGATTGAAACAATTTTTCCTTATGCTTTTCTTGTATATCTGACTAATTTCCATGCATTTCATGCATGCCTCATTCCAAAACACCACATTTGCAATGTTATATCAGACATTACATTTTAAGCTACATATTTATAATGTTCTCTTTAGTAATTCATGCAATGTATTCATTTGAATGAAAAAAAAAACCTTACTAATAAAATATTGAACTATGTAATTAATCTTTGTTTAAAAAAATTGCATAAATTTTTTTCAAACTCCTCTGAGCTACTTATAAGATTGCTCTTTGGATTTAGCATTTTCATCTTTTTAAAATTTTTCTTTCAAACTAGATACTGTATATATATACAGTATTTTAAATATTAATTTTTTGTATTTTCTAATGAAGTTTCTCAAAGATACATGAAAGTAAACATATCTACTAATCATAGATCTTCATGTTTGCTTATCTTTTTTTTCAGTTAAATAATAAATTTTCAGTTTATATCTATTAATTTAAACTGTGAATAGTTTCAGATATTTTTTTCAACAATACTGTTCTGTTTTCTTTATTACAAACTTGTTCTTTAATTTCTTTGCTATTTTAAATTATAAAATTCATATACAATGAAGTACTTCTATTTAAAATTATCTGTTGTTTAAAATCAATATAATGCTAATATTTGTTTTAGATTTTGTTTGACTTTTTCAACAAAAATTTTAATTAGTATTTCCTTCTTTAATGCATACCATTTTTGTCTTTTTTTAGTAAGACAGTTTTTAAAAGTTTTACTACTACTTGCTCATGAATTGCAATGCTTATATCATTCATAAACAAAATCTTTCATACAAATATGAAGCAAGTGTTTGTGTTTGCTATTTAGATCATATTTACTTTTTTAAATGTTTAAATTTTTGTTCTAATTCTTTGACTATCTTCAAATTTCTATCTATTTGACTATCTAAAAAATTAAGGGGGACTTATTTTGCCAATAACTTGGAAAAGCAAAAACTTAAATTGCAAGAAAGTTATGCATTATTGGAATGAATTCTTTAAGTAATTTTGAAATTCAGGTACTTTCAATACTTGCTAGCTCATTTTTAAAGTGTGTAAATTATTTCAAAAAATAAAAAGAAACATCAAAATTAAATGTTAAACAAGGTATTATTCACATTATTTAAAATAAATTTTGCTTCAATAAAGTAGAATTTTTTTTTATAATTTGAATATTAAATATATGCTATTTATAAAATAACCCTGAAAAGGGACAGAATAACCACAAGTTATCATAAAGATGAAAGGCTAGATGAATGTTTATTCATATACCAGTATATTTCTGGTATTATATTCTGTATATATCATTTTTTTAATCTGGATAACCAGTACTGAAGATTCAGAAACAGAAAAAAGAATATTTTGCATTCTTAAATAGGAAGCAATTAGAACGAAACGTTTTGTAAATCATGAAAAAGCCACACAATTGTATGACGTCTGAATTTTAAAAGTTTACATCATTTAACGTCATGATATGCATGCAAATCGGCAACACATGGCATTCGTCCCATTATTTTTATGACAGACCAGGAAAGTTTTGTGCGTAAATCTAAGTCAATAAATCTTATTTGGGAAATGATTTCATAGGGTGGATCTAGTTTTCGCGTTTAGCATAATAAAAACAATAGTAATTAGTTATTACTAATAAATCACAATTAAACAAAAATTTTTAATGTATTGAAAATTACAATGTTTTTATATTCTCCGATGTAGCCAAATCTGACAATTTTAAAGTGATGGTTTTTTTGTAAGAAAAATATTACTCTGAACAAATTGATGATGAACCTTCATATATTTTGTTTATTCATTTTAAAATGTATTTTTCTTTCTTTCTAAACATCGTAACAGTAATCTTTAATGTGCAATAAAATACTGTGTACATTTGTTTTATTGAAAAATTTTTTGTTCTTTTAAACTTTTTTCGAACAGTTATTCATTTAATAAACTATGAATATTTTATTTATTAAATCTATAAATTTTTATTTTATTTCTTACTTTTTTGTGATATTTTAATAAATCTGCAATTTAGTAATTATTTTTTTCTGAACATTTTATATAATTATAAATTTAAATATGAATGCTATGAATTTAACTCAAAATATAAGGATATTTCAGTTTAATTTCCGTGATGACGATGTTGCTGGTGTAATCTGAAAGTTTCCTCTAGTAAATCTAGTTTCTACTTCAAGTATTCCGTTCTTTCAAGAGTATCTTATTCTATTTGGCCAGGTTTATAATTACAGTAATTCTATCCTAAGCAATTTATCAAATAAAATCGATTTCGTATCAAAATTCTCTGTGTTGGCGTGATGAGAAACCTGGAAATTTCGACACATACTAGAAACCGAAATTTCTTAACAATTTTTGTATTCTACTCGTTCATTTTCCGATTCTCGTTGTATCTCATTCAGTGTATTTTTTTAAAATTACTTTAAATCGATCTTAATCTCTTATTTTCGTATTCTACTTGATTAGTCGTTTTTAAAATCTCATTTCATCCATGTTAAATATACATTTATATCTCTTGCATCATCGCATGCAGTGCCATAACTAGCTTTTCACGTGCCCTGTGCAAGAGTTTATTTTCGGCTCCCTTTTTTTGGGGGAAATGCAATAGAAATGGTCCGTTATTTTTTTAACTTTAACCAAAAACGTTAACTAATCGGTCCCCACGGCGGCAAAATTTAAAATTTGAAAATAAAAATATAATGCTGATAATTTTTTTTATACCCCATTTTGAAGTCACCTTTCTCAGCTCCTGTCTGCCTGTGCACCCGTTGCACCTGCCTAGTTACGGCACTAATGTTATTGTAATAATGGAGGATAACACAATCTCCTTCAAAACTGACATTCTGAGACATTTGGGGTTATGGAAGAGATTGTATGATGATCATCAATATTTTTTAAGTTGTATACAGTCTAACATCTATATAATGCTCTCATAAACACCAACATTTCAGAATACTTGTGAACGGATTTTTCAGTAAACATAAATACTGAAAAGAATCTTTTCAGTATTCTTTGAATTACTAACTTTACGATTTTGTATTATAAACGGCGTCACAACTTTTAAGCTCTCAAACACATTATTACTCTATATATTTCTTGAACTTCATCACTTGAGTGGAACTTCAGTTTGTGCTACACTTGATTTAGCGTCAACTTCAGAGGCAAACGCGCAAACTGTGGCAGTAAATAAAGTTTGACAGTAACTGTTTATGCTAATGTACACTGTAATAGCGAGATTGCGGCCGAAGTTTTCATCTCTAAAACGTGAACGTCGAACATCGAGCGCCGCTATCTTGTAAGGTACGTTCGACGTTCACGTTTTAGAGATGAAAACTTCGGCCGCAACCTCGCTATTAACTGTATTTTTGAATTTAAATTATGTATAATAATTATGTTAAATAATTATATTGAAATTTAAAAAAGCATACAATAATTACCATTCTTTATTTTGTTTTTAGATGCGAATTGTTTGATAGTAATCTTCAAGCTGCTCTAGAACAAGCTGAAAAAACAGGAATTAGTAATGTTTAAAATAAAATGTAATCTTTGTACATATAATATAAATATATATTAAATTATTCCAATAAAATTGTTTAAATATTTTTTTTGTAAAAATTCATTATACAATACTTGAACTAAATAGAAAGCATATGTAAATATATATTGATATATTTTCTTTTAATTGAAGTTATGATAGTTATTGGAAGTTTATAATTTGATTTACTAATAAATACTAGTTTAATAAAATTTGTAATAATTTTTTAGTCTTTATTACATGACTCTTAGCTTGTTTGTTAATATTTTTATCAGAGAAGAATAAAGAACAAATTATTGTTGTTCAAAATATTATTCAAGTAACTTAACCCTTAAAAAGACCTCTCGGAAGGCGTCCCACCCAGGCAGATCGCCCAAGTGTTGCGTTGCCATAACTTAATAAAAACAAAACAGAACACCATCTCGTGTTGCTTTTCTTGTGAAACAACTGTTACTATCATCGTTTGGAGCGAATCGAGTGATAAACCATCACTTTTAGACTGAATGGCAACCTGATTGAATGTTTACAGATATCCACGTCCATTAGCATCATTGACAATGCTAAAAGACTACACCAGTGTATTTCAGCCTTTTTCTAATCGCGGGCCGGTAATTATATGCGACTACGAATTATGCTTATATAGAGTAGTTGCACTTAACAAAGTATGTACTCTAGATTACTATTTAAATTAGCCATCAATAATAAACTGCGCCAGCGTCAGTAAGATCAAATATTTTCCTGCGGATCGGTGAAATTTTATCGCGGACTGCGGTTGAAAAACTTCTTAAGGTATCAGTGATGCCTCATCACTGATATCTTAAGAAGAAATGCTGTCCATGTCTTCAGGCCGTGCTCAACAACGAAGTTCGTCTCATCGGCATTCTTTCTTTCTTTCTTCTTCTTCGATGGTGTTTATATGGAGATTTTAGCTCAATGTAGGCTCTTTCTCCGAGTAGACTTGTGTATGTGTATGATCGCTAGGCGACCGATTAGCCGGCTGTATCGAACAGCCATACGTACGCGCGGGAAATAAATGCCTTCCGGGAGGACTTTTATGGGGAACTGGCCTCCTATTCAGTCGTGATAGGCAAGGAGAAAACCCGGAAAACTCCAAGCAGCCAGCCTGTCCGACCGTGGCGCGAACCCACGACGAACCTCCCAGTCTTCTCATCGGCATTTGATATGATGTGATTCTTTATAGTGTTATGGATCGAAGCGCCATCTGGTAGACATAATTGGAACTAAATTTTGACAGAAACTTTTGCATGATTCCACGCATTTCTATACTAATCTCCTTACCACACGTCAAAAAGTTACTGAAATATCGGATTTTTCAAATGTTAACTGTCTTTTGAATCACCCTGTATAATTATACTGGAATTCAGATTTATATAAATTTTTATTTTATTTCTTACTTTTTTGTGATATTTTAATAAATCTGCAATTTAGTAATTATTTTTTTCTGAACATTTTATATAATTATAAATTTAAATATGAATGCTATGAATTTAACTCAAAATATAAGGATATTTCAGTTTAATTTCCGTGATGACGATGTTGCTGGTGTAATCTGAAAGTTTCCTCTAGTAAATCTAGTTTCTACTTCAAGTATTCCGTTCTTTCAAGAGTATCTTATTCTATTTGGCCAGGTTTATAATTACAGTAATTCTATCCTAAGCAATTTATCAAATAAAATCGATTTCGTATCAAAATTCTCTGTGTTGGCGTGATGAGAAACCTGGAAATTTCGACACATACTAGAAACCGAAATTTCTTAACAATTTTTGTATTCTACTCGTTCATTTTCCGATTCTCGTTGTATCTCATTCAGTGTATTTTTTTAAAATTACTTTAAATCGATCTTAATCTCTTATTTTCGTATTCTACTTGATTAGTCGTTTTTAAAATCTCATTTCATCCATGTTAAATATACATTTATATCTCTTGCATCATCGCATGCAGTGCCATAACTAGCTTTTCACGTGCCCTGTGCAAGAGTTTATTTTCGGCTCCCTTTTTTTGGGGGAAATGCAATAGAAATGGTCCGTTATTTTTTTAACTTTAACCAAAAACGTTAACTAATCGGTCCCCACGGCGGCAAAATTTAAAATTTGAAAATAAAAATATAATGCTGATAATTTTTTTTATACCCCATTTTGAAGTCACCTTTCTCAGCTCCTGTCTGCCTGTGCACCCGTTGCACCTGCCTAGTTACGGCACTAATGTTATTGTAATAATGGAGGATAACACAATCTCCTTCAAAACTGACATTCTGAGACATTTGGGGTTATGGAAGAGATTGTATGATGATCATCAATATTTTTTAAGTTGTATACAGTCTAACATCTATATAATGCTCTCATAAACACCAACATTTCAGAATACTTGTGAACGGATTTTTCAGTAAACATAAATACTGAAAAGAATCTTTTCAGTATTCTTTGAATTACTAACTTTACGATTTTGTATTATAAACGGCGTCACAACTTTTAAGCTCTCAAACACATTATTACTCTATATATTTCTTGAACTTCATCACTTGAGTGGAACTTCAGTTTGTGCTACACTTGATTTAGCGTCAACTTCAGAGGCAAACGCGCAAACTGTGGCAGTAAATAAAGTTTGACAGTAACTGTTTATGCTAATGTACACTGTAATAGCGAGATTGCGGCCGAAGTTTTCATCTCTAAAACGTGAACGTCGAACATCGAGCGCCGCTATCTTGTAAGGTACGTTCGACGTTCACGTTTTAGAGATGAAAACTTCGGCCGCAACCTCGCTATTAACTGTATTTTTGAATTTAAATTATGTATAATAATTATGTTAAATAATTATATTGAAATTTAAAAAAGCATACAATAATTACCATTCTTTATTTTGTTTTTAGATGCGAATTGTTTGATAGTAATCTTCAAGCTGCTCTAGAACAAGCTGAAAAAACAGGAATTAGTAATGTTTAAAATAAAATGTAATCTTTGTACATTTATTAATGAAAATGATCACGTGCCTGTCATTTAAGAAAGTTATTGCAGTAGAGAGTAATTGCACTAATTCCAGAAATTTCATAATGTAATTGTCAGTTCAATAGTGGGCCTTTAGAAGATTCTATCCTGTTTTGCTTTATTTTATACCAGTATTGGCAAGTAAGAAAAAAATATTATGGTGAAAGTTAAGAACTGTACTCACAAAAAAAATTTTGAATTAAATGTAAAATTTTCAGTACATTGTAGATTGCAATGAAAGACTGTCTACTTATTAAAATAAGCACTAATTTTTAAGTTGTTCAAATTGTGAGAACAAGGGGCATTATTTCTAATAATCTGAGGAATTTATAAAATATTTAATATTTGTTAGAAGATATAACCAAGTGTAACATTGCAAATTTCAATGAGGAAGTTAATGAATTTTTATCAACTACTAACTTCCTATCAGCTGACACACATCTTCCCTAAGTCATTCCTGTTTAAAATATTAGATTAGACGATTGTTAGGAACTGCATCGAGAATTTGGTCAGAAGACAATGTTTTTGACAAAAGGAAAGACATAAAAGGAGAGAGAGTGCCTAAAGCAGGGTTCCCTTTTCTAAAGCTTCTAAAGGCCTTCTCAGAAAGCTTACCACATTGAGCACTTTGAAGGTAAATGAGAACAAGTTCACCCAATCCTAAGATTCCCAAAGGAATTTAGATTAAATGGTAATTTTGTAAATATTAACAAAAATCATCACATACCTGTCATTTAAGAAAGTGAAATTTTAGTGCAGTAGAGAGTAATTATTCTAAAATCAACTTCAGAGTGCACTAATTCCAGTAATTTTATAATGTGAGCTGATGTTAGGGAAAGGTTGCAGGATGATTTACAAGGAATGATTAAAAGGATTGTTTCCAATCAAGTTAACAATTAAAAGACAACTGAACTCTTGTCAAGATGATGATTGAGCCTAATCAACTTTGTATGTGAGGAGGTACCTCTTAAAAACTGATTGTAACTCACTCTCTCTCCAACTTTGTGAAATTAGCAGGTGCAATTTTGGTGACTAGTTTATTTCCTTGTTTAATAATTATTTATCACTTTTAAATAATCTTTTCATTGTTATCTAATACTATATCTAAGAGATTTGCTCTCATATTGCCTATCAAATTCCTCCTCCATTCTCTTAAAGTCCCCAACTCCCAAGTCCATAACTATCATATGACCCTCACAAAATTATTAAAATTCTATGCCTTTACAATACTAGAACTGGAATTAATATTTTTACTTTGAATCTTTTTATTCTTTCCCTATAAATGTTGTTGGTTATCCAAAATTGTCCCATCCTTGTAGAGTAGAGTAAATTATTTCAGATAATTTACTCTACTCTATTCCAAATCCAAGTAATCNCAACTTCAGCTATATATATATATATATATATACAGTATATTCATTTTTATAGTCAGCTTTGTAAAAATAATAATTCAAAAGCTAATACTGTAGTTAATATTTTAAGGTGATTATTAGAATTTTATGATTTTATATATAATTATTTTATTATTATAATCATCATTGGTAAAAAGTTGTATGTGTAATTAAGTATAATTATGTGTATCAGCTGTTGGAAATTTTCCGAACTGACTTTTGTTGCATAATTATTTGAATGGTAACAACAGTACATTGCATAATAACACGTGGAAAAGACCTTAGGGGATGAAAGACCGCAAAGAGAAACAAAAGTTGTCAAGGTTATTATTTTAACATTATTTTATTCCTATTGTAAAATTACAAGTGGCTAATTAACCTGTGTAAAGCAGGTTAATACCTGTTTATAATTCATGTGAAATGATTAAATATTTTATGGACGTTTTGAGAAAATAAAGAATATCAATAGATAAATTTAACCTTGATTAAATTTTGTAATATGCTATATAAAAAGTGTTTTTAAATGTGTATTTAATATTTATGAAAGTTTTTAAATTTCGTAAACATAATTTCTCATAAATATATTTATGTTTTCCTTAAATTTAATTTAAATTAAATATGCAATACCATTACTACTACTGTTGATCAGATTTGAATTAATTGTGTTGTTACCAAGTTCTTTTTTTAAATTACTTTTTTTTACACTGTCACGGGGAGAGTGAAACCAGTTGGAGAGAGAAATCTGT